AATAATAAAAAAAATGTTTCATTATACATTAATATTGGAGAAGAAAAGGTGATGTGAAGACGTCAAAGCAGCCTTCTAGTATCTGAAGAGGGCCTACAGGGAAGCCAGGGAGGGACTTTCCATCAGGACCTGTAGTGGCTGGACAAGGGGGAATGGGTTCACATGAAAGAGGGGAAATTTGGCTTAGATAATTATGGAGAAATTTTTTACTATGAAGGTGGTGAGATACTGGAACAGGTTGCCCCAACCCTTGCAGTATTCAAGGCCAGGCTGGATAAAACCTTGAGCAACCTGGTCTAGTAGAAGGTGTCCTGGACATGGTGGGGGGTTGGGACTAGATGATCTTTAAGGTCTATTCCATCCCCTTAAAATTCTGAGATTCTAAGTTCTGTAGCTTATTTTTGAAACAGCGTATGACACTAAAAATTCCATTTCAGAATGAATATTGCAAATTTAGAAAGAAGAAGTAAAAGAATGAAGAATAGAAAAGACAGTGCTTGCATGAAGAATGATTAAAAAAAAAGAAAAATTGAGAAAATAGGCAAACTAATGTGCCCTGATAAGTGTGTCTGGGCATCTGAAACAGGTATGTTAAGTTTAGAATGACTACACAATTTGATAACAGAAAATTATGAGGATGTCCTCCTACAGATGAGAAAGTGGCAAATTTAGAATGGCTAAAAGGAAGTTTCTGGTTTCCATTATCTGGTTTTTTTGGGAAAAAAAAATGAAAACAACCCACTGTGGATTATGGAATTTGCTGACTTGGAAAGGCTTTGGAGTCAAGGATTTAATGAGATAGAAGGCTACTGTGAGCAAAAATGATCCCATATCTCCCATTATGGTGTGCATATAAATTTCCCTGAAGTATCTAGCACTAGTCAGTTGTAACAGGACAGTGAACTCAGATCTGGCCCAGTAATGTGTGTTCCTTGTCTCTAAGTTTGATACTGGTGTAAAAACAACTTTATCAGATATTACATAATAGAATTTATTTATCAGACCTCACAGTCTCTTCCTGTGAGTACATGTGCTTAACTCTATTAGCATGAATAGTTTCACAGATGGAAGCTGGACCACCCAAGGGAATATAACATAAGCACATGTATAAATAACTGTTTGTTTAACTTGAGCTTGTTCATACTAATAATTTTGCATTAATGTTTTAATGCAAAAACAGAGACAGAGACCCACTGCATTCAGCTTTTCCTAAGGAGTTCCTTTCACATATCTATGTAAATGCCACATGGTAAATTCATGGCAAAATTTCTTCTTTACATTCTTTGCAATTATAAAATCACAAGTGTTGACCTCGTGCTGTTCTTTCAAGGAAAAACAATTGTAGTGCATATTTACCTTCCACATTAGTATTTATTTTACTTTTTATTCTTTTACTGCTTTATATGTACAAACTTTTCTCTGCTTATGGTTCCAGTCAGATTTTTACAAACAGCCTCACATCTTTGGAGATGCGATATAGTTTAGATAAAAGTTGCAAGTTGGCATCCAGTACCATTTAGCAGAAAATAAATGTTTATTTCATGAAATCAGATTACTTGCTGCATTAAAAAAACCCACAGCAACACAAACAAACAAACAAAAACCAACCCAAAGAAAAGAGCAACTTTGAAATAAAGTTGTCACTCAAAATATTAAATTGACTGTTGTAGAGACATTTTGAGATGGGCCCTTTCTCAAATAACAGATTTTAAGATTTATACAGTTATCAACAGTGATCCACAAATACTTGGTGGCAACTGTAAACTTCGGTGATATGTCCACAATCAGCAAGACCATTGTAAACTTACAGAGGAAGATATTTAGTAGTGATGATGCTTTGCCTACTCTTGTAAAAAGTACTGGGTACTGCTATTTGTTTATGTCAAAGAATGAGCAGTAGAATAAAAATATTTCCAAAAATTTAGAGACCATATAACTGTAATTTTTTAGGTTCATACTAATTTTGCTAGTGTCAGGGAGAGAGATGTATTCGATGTTGGTAGAGCCAAAACAAGTGGGTACTTTTAACTCTACAAATGATTTTAACGTAAAAGTTCAAAACTGCATAGCCTGTTCCCATCTTGACAGAAGATTGAAACTATGAAAAGAACCTAACAGTTTGCAATGTATTACTTTTTAAAAGCAATTTTATAGGTACTAATAATTGCAGCAATTTGGCATCCATTTTCAGACCTTCTTGGGCATAGTGCAAGATAAGATTAAACTGGTGATAGCATATCTTCACAAGGATTTTGGAGCCATGCTGGTTTTCTAAGATTATTTTGAAAGCATCTGAGACACACTGTCCTATGTCTTCAAATCTTGATCAACTATTTTATGAAGATGGGTTATATACAGATTTTAGACAAGGATAGGTCATGTCCATAGGAACCCCCTCTCCCCTACTAAACAGCCACTTTAGCTAGACTTCAAGCAAACACGCACAAGTTCTGGATAAGAAAAGCTAGTGGGAAAGAATCTCAGATATAGGGGGAAATCTGCTGGGAAACGTTGGATGTTATTGTTCCAAGACCAAAGTTAAATAAAAGATAGAGAAAGAAACTGGGGAAAACATTTATTTTGATGCTTTCCCTTTATCCTGTGTCTGTCCTGACTGTGCAGACTCTGAACAGAGACCACTTCAATTTCTGCACACAGTTCTGTCTGTATCTATTTATCTTTTCTATTATAAATACAACATTACCATCACCAATAAGAAGTCCAGGAGGGAACTGGCTTTCCATAAAACTGTAAGTGAAGAAGCATTAAGAAGTAGTGGAACCCTTTAGACTAACTACTTCCTTCCTTGTCTTTTGAAATGTAGGGCTGGAGAAAACTTCAGCAGATCCCTAGTCACTTCTCTCAGGCCAGGTAAAGTAAATATCAGCCATTCTTTACGGCTGTTCCACCAACTTCATCAGAAGTCTCAGTGAAGGAGATTATGCAGGGGGGGATTTTTGGTAGCCTGTCCTAGCAATTCATAACCCGAAGAGTAAGAAAGTTCTTCTGAATATTCCCTAAGGTTTTTCCATAGTGAGTTATGTTGATTTTGTTTTGTCCTTTGTTGGGCACGGAGAACCAACTATTCATCAATATCTTTGTAAGCTAACATATGCGCTATAGAAAGTCATGATTGAGCACTCTCACAAAACAAAGAAAACACTGACATTTAGAAGAATATTCTTAGTATAATACTTTGATAAAGAGATATATTTGAAATGCTCAACACTTTACCCTTAGTTTTCTTGCTATTAGATAAACAAGCCTAACCCATTTAGTCTTTCTTCACAGATCATTTTCATCAGCCCTTATCAGGCTTGTCACTTCTCTGTGCACTTCTGTCTGCATCTGTTAGACTTCCTGTACTCAAGATTCTCAGAGCCCTCATCAAAACCAAGCTGAATTAAAAAAGAATAAAAATCTGTATCAATACACAAATGTGTATCATACATCTCTATGAACCTCCTTTATTCTAGGTTGGTTTTGTTTGCTAGGGCCTGCCAGATTATTGGCCTATTTTTTTTTGCTTTTTAAAGAAGAGTAGCATGTAATTAATTTTTTAATTCTGCTGTAATTCTAAAACTCCTTGTCCACATTTTTATGACATTTTGACTTGCTTGTGTAGGACTATGTCTCTTATTTATTTGAGCCAATTTGAATCCCATTCCTGGTATCTGTGCCTCCTTTTATTTCTAAGTGTATTCTATTTCACACCAACTTTTTAAAAAAGGAAAAAGCCCTGCCACCACCAAAAAGTAATCACCTAACAGATTTGGATGAGACCTACTTCTGAAATGTCTTGCTATCTGACAAGTAAACCTTTTTGTCATTACTGGTGAATTATATGTCAGCAGTACCAGTGGCAACTTAGCAGCTCTGAAGGGAAATTGTGGCACACAAAATTGTTGCCACTTTACAAAGCCTCCTTCTGTGAAAGAACACAAACAAAAGCACGTTTTGAAGTATATCACTGTGTAATAATAATAAAGACAGCTATGAACAGTGGCTAAACATAGCACACCAAAATGCTACATTCAGATTTTCACATTTTCCTGTGTCTGTTCGTTCTTGCACAATAAGCACAAAGGGAAGAGGTGAAAACTCTTGTTTTGCCTTTTCCCCATTTACTGCTGCCTGCATGTGGGCAATTCTTATGAAATTGATTTCTTCCTCTGTACTGCTTCAGGTTCACTGTGTGCTACTTGCCAGCGCGAGAGCTGCTGGAGAGTTCAGTGTCCAAGTTTGCAAGCACAAAAATCCCAGCATTGCCTTAGCCTCTTTCCCACTTCTTGGATTCCCCTGTTTTCATATCCAAAATGTTACTACAGACTGACTAGCTAGGGAGATTGCTACTTGCTGTATTCATTTTTCTAAAAGCAGTTAATTCCTTAACAATAAACCCCTAAAAGGAAATATTACATAGTTCATGTCTGGATGGACTCATCTTTCTGAAGTGAGTTAAGTGTAATTAACTGCTTCTTCACTTCCCCTTTTACCACTCAGAAGTCTGAGAGCCAAACAGAGAAAAACAGTCTACCCTAATTAAAAACAAACCAAACCCAAACAATACAACAACAAACAAAAAAAACCCCAAACCAACCCAACAACAAAAAACTCAAAACCAAACCCAAACAAACTTGTTGGGGTTTTTTGGTTGGTTTTTTTTTTTTTTTTTTTTTTTTCCCCCCAAGCCAGATTCAATCACACCATATGTTCTCAGCCATTCATCCTCATTTAGCAGCCTTCCCTTACCCCCCGGATTCTAAAACTGGTTTAGGGATTAAAGTTCCCAGAGAGAAGCAAACCGAGGAAGTCCCTCACGACCTGTGGCTGGGAAGGGAAGCCACAGGGCAGCTCCGGGAAGGGCATTCCTGGGGCAGAGATCGGGGACAGGGGACGCCGTTTCGCCGGTGCCAGCACCCACTGAGTACTTCCCTGGCAGCAAGGCTGCTTACGGGACCTGGGTCTTCAAAGAAAGGCAGAAAAGGGGCTTTGTTTACCTGTCAGCATCCAGTAGGAGGCGGCCATGCCAGGGCTCCTGCGAGCCCGGGGCTGGAAGCCCGGGTGGAGAGTCGCGGTGGCGGGAGCGGTCCTGCCGCCGGCGGAGCGGCGCTGCCGAAGGAGCTCAGTGCTCTGCACCGCCCGTCCGCCTCGCCGCCGAGTTAGGCATTTCCTGTTTGTTATTCGGTCTTTACGTTTGTTTCTTCGCATCAAGAAGAATTTAGTTTCCTGCCTGCACACAACTTTCCTCCCACCCACCCCCCAAAGACCTCTGAGCTTTGGAAACCTCCCCGAAAAACTAGCCCGGCTCTAGGATGTACAAATAAAGCCAAGTCTACCCCACTAAGCCTCCGGATGCCGCTCTTGGAGAGCACAGCAGACCTTAAAGGGACATCTTCACGTTCATAATTAATAAGTGTCTCCCGCCGGCCAGCCCCCCCTCCCAGTAGGACAGGAGTGAGCTGGGTGTGCTACAGAGCCGTCGTCAACAGGAGAAACGCGTCGTTGAGGTAGAGAGCGTGTTTGGCTGCTCCAGTTTAAGTTCTCTGACATCACCCCTTAAAAACGCACTCTACGGCCGGTCATTTGCCTGTAAGAGGAAGCCAGCCGTCCCCTCCCCATTCTCGGCGGCGCTGGGGATACAGTAACTCTTCAGACAGTGGACGGTTTTCTCGAGTCTTTTCATCCTCCTGTGCTTTGCTGCCTAGAAGAAATACCAGACAGAAATGCTACCTTTGCCCTCGTCTGTCGAACGTTTGCACGGCATCCCTGCCCCCAGAATGACTTCATCAATAAACAAGTGAATAAATCGCAAAGGTAGTAATCAGCCAGATTCAGGGCAGTGAGTAGGGATTTTCAGAATTTGTTGAACACTCAGGAAAAGAGCAATTTTGCAGGACTTTTTGAGTTTACCAGAATGATGCTCAGGAGGAGTGACGTCCCTTCAGCAGTGTGAGTTCTCGCACTGGAGCTGGTGAAAAATCATGTTGTTGTTGATAAAACAAGAGAACCCATGGTCCCTCAAGTAAGAAAAAGGAAAAACAAAATATAAGGATTTGGAGATCTTGGTATGTCTAGAAAAATCCTCTCTTTTCCTTGACGTGGAGCAAAGCATTTGGCGACTAAGTGGAAGTTGGTGGAATTTTGGCAAGTTCCTCTGAGGCTAATAAACTACAGCTTTTAATCATCACTATAATAGCTGAATGCATCTTCCAGCTTCTGTCTTAATTTCATGAGAACACTTTGGGTACACTTGTAGTTCTGTGGAACTTTTAGAAAACAGTGCGCAATTCAAAGCTGGTTTTAAGAGCAAAGATTCTCAGTGGAACTACTCAAAATTGAAAAAATTAAGCACATATGTAACTTTTGCTGAATGAGAATCTGAGCTCTGTTGATACCAGTTAAAAAGACTAGGAACATTTATCCAGTCAAAGGTTTTATGCCTAAGATTAAAGAAAATGAAAATGGCATCCAAACTAAAAGAAGACTGAGAATATGGAAAAAAGCTGTAATTTCATTTTTGCTAGCAAGTTATATTACTGCTACTCTTATCACAAAACAAGGTTTGTAGCCCGGCCTGCTATAGCCAATTACACACAGAGTTGATATTGTAGTTTATTACAGAGTTATAAATCTGGCTGTTGGGTGGTAATCCATAAAAACTAGCACACTCTGCGTTAGAAAACTGGGTGGGTTTTATACACTTTTAATTAATATATTCTGCCTATCTAATACAGATGGATTGCTGCATTTTCTCTTTAAAAAAGCCCCAAATCTTTATATTCCTTTTCTGTTACTATACTTCAACTAAATGTACATGGGAGAGTTGAGCTTGCTTTCAAATCATAGTGAAGGATTTCTTTTTGTAATAAGATTAACTTTGTCAGAGAAAGAGATGGGGAACTAGGGACTTTCTCATGGACTAAAATAAGTCAAACCTCTTTGAGGTTTATGTGGTATTTGGTACCTGTGTGGGAATGTATCTCATGCTGGAGAATAAGACTTCTTTAGAATAAAATGAAACATCTCCAAGGAAGAGTTAGTAATAATTTTTATTAAATTATTCTTACTATTATGATTTATTAATTTCTTTTTGTGGTGGTGTTCTATGCATCTTGCATCAGGCAACGTCAAACGGAACACATTAGAAAAGATGAATTGCCAGACTGAACTAGCATTTCTTATTAATTTGCACACATGCAAAAAAGTAAAATATATTACAGACTTACAGACCACTACTTATCTTGAAATGTCAAACTAATTCAGAAAAAAACCAACTCCTTTCCACAGTCTGTGTTGCTTTGTGTGTATTAATTCAAGCAATTGCTCATAACATGTTGCTAAATGCTCTTCTTGGGGTTTAAAGTTTCATACATCAGTAGTAAGGAGCACATCCACTTTAAGCAGGACTCCCTAGATGAAGTGCACTCAGACCAGAAGTAGTTAAGATATTAAGTAATTTTAATATGAGAAAAACAAATATTATTAATTTCAGTAGATTGTAATAGTATGCCAAATCATTACCTACAGTGATGGATAAAACAAGAAGATCAAATTAGTTTAAAGAATATGGTTGGTTTGCATATTTTATATCTTTATAATCAGTCACAAAATGCTGAGGAAGGATTTTTTTCTAGTGAAATGAATTAAATAAATAATGAAATAAATAAATGAAACATGATTTATCATTTTGAACTCCACCTCCCAATCAGTTTGCCCAAAGTAATGTAGAATATGCATTATAGAATAAGTACACTAGTAGTTCCATGGAATCCGGTAGAAGTATTTGTGATTAAAATTGATTTAAAGTCTTTGAAAGACTAGACTTTGAAAAGATAATAAAAATTAAAAGTATTAGAAAGACCCAATTCTTCTCCTTCCAAGAAGGCGTTATTCCTGAAAAAAAAACACCAGCGGAAATGCATTCTGTCCCAAAGGTGAGAGGTGAAGGAACAGGAACCAAAGTTTTTCAAATAGTTTCAAAGGCAGGCAGTCTTCTAAATAATGTGGGCATAATTTACATGGAACTCATTTTCTGTGGAATTTTTTCTTTCATTGTTAAAGAGGATATGAACAATTTTAATTTATTTTCGTTAGGTAAAAAGGATCTTTAACCTCTAGCACAATAGAACAATGTGTAATGCAAGACTGACTTTAAATAGCCGAAAGCATGCCTAACTTAATTCCATTAAAGGAATAGTACAACATCAATAATTGTAAGAGAGATGTAACATGTTTCTACAATGTTCACTGTTGTTATTACTTTGTATTATGCACTGTATGGAAAATACTACAGAGTGTGTTCCTATAGCTTCTAAGTGAAGATTTATCATTGACAGCTCTTATTATAGTTTTTGATGGTTTACATTGCACTGTAGATTAGTGGTAATTTACAGTTATGTTTTTTTCTTACACTTGCTTATTCACAATTTCCAAGATGTCTTTCACCTTGATGATTCTGTTGTTCATTTTCATAGTCTCCATTTTTTCCTATCTGATTCTAGGACCATACTAGAGTTCACTTGGCAGAAGCTGTGGGGCTATAGTTTTTATTATTATGTCTGAAATACTCGAGGGCTCCTTCTTTAAGTACCACAACTAAGACCTTGCAGAACTTGGTATAGATCCAGCAATACTCTATGCATAAATCTTTTCATGTTTTACAGCCCAGCTTTTAACTGATACTTGATATTCTTGGAGAATGTCCATGTTTCTGCTCCATCTGCATTAACCAGTGGTACAAATGTGCCAAAAATCCTTTTTGATGCACAATAGGATCTTCATAAAAATTTTGTTTTCCAGTTTGTGATAGTTTAATTAATGTTTGTAGGAAATGTTATGGAAAATGCCCTTTACATTCTGTGTTAAATTTATTCTCTACAGTATCTTTATTTCTTCTTTGTTGTCCTTTTTTGGATTATGTACCAAATGCCATAGTATAGTTGTGAACCAAAGAAATATAGAGCCTGAATTCTTACTGAAATAAAATTTCTGGTTTTCCTCCTTAACAGATTTAGTGTCTCACATCCTCAGCCATGCTGCTTTTCTTTATGCTTTTTCTCTAGTTGCAATTTTTTTAAATATTCATCTCAAATTTGTAGAGGTCAAAACTAGATGTATCACAAAAATACAGGAAGACCAGAAAGAGATGAGTTTGTATGGCATTGTTTACTGTTATACACCTACCACCAATCTCTTTAGTTGTTGATTGTTGCTTTATACTCATGGAGAAGGATTTTTATATCAGAACAGAATTTAAGATTCTTGGAGATGAGATCTCTATACTTTTCTTATTTTTTATGTTATTTCTATTTCCTTTGAGTCAGATTCTTACAGATAAAGTCCTGGTTAAGTTTTCTGCAACATGGAGATTTTCTTCTTGCTTATTTACTCACATGTGTACCTATTTACAAATTATCTTTGAGGTCTATAGTATATTACCAAACTTTAACATGAATGTATAGTTCTTCACAGTTTGTGCTAAAAATAAGGGTAGAAAAACACAATGCATTCAATATGAATGAGGTACTGATTTCTCTGGCCTGAATATTTCAGATTTTTTTTGTGCTGAAGCACTGTTTCTGCAGCACTGAAGTCATTGGAGCTGTGGCATTGAGTTGGAGGGGAATGGAACTGGTAACTTCAAGTGTGGAGAGATGACAAAAAATAATATTTTTTTTTTACAAAATCAAGGACATGAAGTAGAAATTGAAATGTGTTTTTAACTAGAGGTACATACAGTATACCAGATAGTGTTGGTCCATAAGTGTATTAGTTCCACTACATTATACAAAGGGTTATTTGAAATGAGGCCAGAATTTAGGTGCAGAGGGTTAATTGATTCTTATAAATGTCTTGGGATTTCTGAAGTCCATCCACATTTTCTTAACATTAAGGGTCTTTTTCTTTTCTTTTTTCTTTTTTTTTTCCCTTTTTTAATTTACATACCTGCCATGGTATGTTGTATAATCAATATTATTTATTGCTGAGATAGATTTCAATTATGAAACTAAGAATGTGCTGTGAAGGAAGGCTAATTGATGATACTAACTTCTCAAAATAATTACATAGTCTGCAGAATACACTGTATTGCACTGCGCGGTATTCATTACCTTCACAGCTGGTCTGCATAATATAATTATTTGTTACTCTTTGGTTACAGAAAAATGGAAACTGTGATTGCCATAACCGTGGTGAAAACTCATTTTATTCTATTTTTTTCTTTCTGTTACTGGTAGATAAAAACATCTTCTTTTTCCTTGATGTACACATACATTCTTTTTCCAGGTCTGTTATTTTGCTAGTGCAAAAGCAACATTTAAATATAGATCTCTGCCCAAGCTTTCCTTTAATCTTCATGAGCAGGCAAAAAAAATCTTGCTTTTTTGCAGGAACACAAGCCTGATTATGAGGCCAGTATATGTTTTATGACCTACATTAAAAAAAAAAAACCAAAACAAAGCAAACCAAAACCACAAAAAACCCCACAAGAAAACACAACATGAACAAACCAACCAACCCCACACCAAAACCAAACAAGCAACCCTCCTTCCCAGCAAGAAGGAGGGTTCTTTCTTTCCCACATGAAAGAAAAATATTACTGTAGTGCAGAAACTGCAGCTTTTGCAGTGATTACCTTTTAATTTTTTTAAGTGTGTGATTTT